GGTCAATCACAACGCACTGGATAGCTGGCTAATCAGAGCACACCTCGCTTTTCAGACCGATTAGTTTTGTAAAAATCGACGCGTTTCAGAAAGGCGGGGCATAGAGGAGAAACAATAATGTACAGTATGTGGAAAATAATGTGTTTTTTTTACTTTAAACCGCATAAACACATTTCATTACACCAAATACACAAAATAATGTTCTTTTTAGCAGCATCATATGACCCCTTTAAAGATGACAACAGGCAACGTACCAAGAGTACCATGATATGTAACGTGGGTGGTGTATCGCGGTTTTTCGGTTCGGTTTGAATATTGTTACACCCCTAATGAATACATTTATACATTGAATACAAATTAAATTTTTAAAATATAATTTTTAATATTAGTGACTGTATTTCCATTCCGCATATATGTATATGAATAAATTTAACATTTAATTAATTTTTTTAAATACAATTTTTTATATTAGTGACTGCATTTCCATTCCATTTCCAAGTACAAAAATGAATTAATTTCACATAAAATAATATTTTGTTAAAAATAAACAAATATTTATCAATATTGAAATCTATTTTGCTTTGTCTGCCATCTTGGATAGGATTTTTCTGAGCTTGCATTATAGTATAACCATTTTTCTGCAAAAAATAAAAAAGATGCTGTCTTATACTTGATGAGAACCTATGATGTCTTAAAATACAATATAACACTAGGTTTTGTAAAGTAAAATCCACCGGTACTCCTTGCATTAGTGGGACATGGTGGTTTTGGAGTAAAAGAAGACATGAAATTCTCTAGTACAATAGTTGGTGTTCTGTGGTATCCATCATTTTTATTTCAAAGACAATACAATGAGAAAGTCTTGAAATGAAGTTTCAAGCTCCCTGTGACAAACGTCTAGCTCAATAGATAACACCAGCTGACTCTCAAACCTGAACAATAGAACATGCCTCATGAAAGGAGATACAGAGAGAGAGAACATAATCTTTGAAAAGTTCCTCGCAAAAATTCGAGGGTAACTCCATTTAATTATCTTCGCTGCTTCTCTTGTATGACAGCAGCAGTTATTGCTGTGCAGCTCTTACAGAAAATGAAGTGTTATGTGTATCCGCTTTACTATGATTAATGAAAACCTCAAATAAAGGGAACAATAGTGTCTAGCCAGCTTGCAAAAGGAGACTGTATACAAAAGACTCACTAAGGGAGAGAAACACACACACACACACACACCGACAGACGAGCGAGTGAAATGCACTGGCCATCTTACCTCCCAAGTGATGACTAACTCTGATCGACTGCCACCTCCTCCGCTCACGTTGGCTGGGGTGACCTTGGGAACTGGAGGAAGGAAAAGATTCCTCAGTCCAGCTCAGGTCTGACCATTTAAGATTTCAATTATTGCATATGATTTGAAAGTTCAACAAATAATATGGATATGATTTGAATTAAATTATGTTAAACAATGTTTTAATGTACATGGACATGTTTATATTTTTAGATGCTGGGGACTATTTCTGTTTGAGCATTTTTATGGTATGATTTAACAGTTTGAATGTGACCTGACAATTAAAACTGATATGACTTAAGTTGTAATGTATAAGAACAAGTGTATTTTTTAGATGCTGGTCACCATTTCTTTTTCACCATTTTTTATATTTTTTTCCCCTTTTGCAGTCCCTGATAGTTACAATTATTTTAAATACACTACTGTTCAAAAGTTTGGGTTCATCAGGGATGCATTGAATTGATCAAACGTGACAGTAAAAACATTCATAATGGTACAAAATTTAGTTCTTTTGAACATTCTATTCATCAAAGAATCCTGCAAAATATCATGGTTTCCAAAACAATATTAAGCAGCATTAACTGTTTTCAATGTTGATAATAAGAAGAAATGTTTCTTATGCAGCAAATCAGCATATTAGAATGATTTCTGAAGGATCATGTGACACTGAAGTGTGGAGTAATGATGCTGAAAATTCAGCTTTGCATCACAAGAATAAATAACATTTTAAAATATATTAAAATAGAAAATAGTTATTTACATTGAAATAATATTTTTGATTAAAAAAAAATCATCCTTGGTGAGCATAAGTAAGATCTTTCAAAAACATTAGTGTATATTTATTTATATATTACTATATTTATTATTATATATGTATGAGGACAAGAGTATATTTTTAGATTTTTATTCCTTTTTCACAATTTTTAATCACCTTTTTGCCTTTTACAGTTCACTTAAATGGTCCTGCAGTGAGAGAAATTAATTTTTTAATACTCCATTTAGCCTTTTAGTAATTTATAGGCTATAAAACTGCATGCATAACTACATTTTTACCTTTTTGAAGAAATGTGAGTGGTGTTTGCCCATACAAAATAAGCCGTAAGAATGCTTAAGCATTGCAGGATATTACTGTGTGGTTGCTAAAGTGCTTTTTAGTATTTTACTATGCACTGCTTCCAAGTCTCTATGAAATTCTAGTTTGACTCCCTCATTCAATGTAAGCATGGAAAGAGTGCATCACACCACAGGACGCTAATTAAAAGAGCCACATGCAGACTAACGTGACGGAAGCACTCACCCGTTTCTTTCGTCCTGGCTTTCTTTGAGGGTTTGCTGGGCTCTCCTGTGCCCACTGCGTTGCTTGCCAACACTCTGAATTCATACTCCACCCAGGGGTTAAGCTCGATGACTGTAGCAGTCAGATGTGAGCCCCCGACCACCTTCGGCACTGGAACAAAACAAAACACACACATAGTGTGAGACGAGCCCCCTCGTGAGCCAGCACAGGCCCCCCACACGCTCACACAAACACCAAGCACAGCATGCATCTCTCCAGCTTGGTGAGATAATAGGCTCTGCAGGTAAGATACAAAAACCGGGCTTATCGACAGGTGCTGTGAAAGCAGAGATAAAAATAACACCCTACAGTTCAAATTATACAGTACAATCAAGAGCAAAGAGGTCAAGAGATATAATGCAGCTTAATTTTTTTGTATATTGTTGTGTCATATTGTATTAGATCACTGTATATGGTGTACTGTAAAATATTGTTTATTATCTATCTATCTATCTATCTATCTATCTATCTGTCTATCTGTCTATCTGTGTTCAAAATTTTAGGGTCAGTAAGATTTTTCTTAAATAAATTAATACTTTTATTCAGCAAGGATTCCTCAAATTTATCAAAATATTTTTTTAAAATTTAATTATTTTTTAAATATTTTAAATTAACATTTTTTAAATTAATATTTTAAATTAATATTCTAAAATAGAAAACTGCTTTTTAAATAGTAACAATTCACAGTTTTACTGTTTTATTTCTGAACAAATAAATACAGCCTTGGTGAACATAAAATGTATTATTGTAAATTAATATTAGTAAATCAGTACATCATATACACATGTAGTTTAATAATATAAAGCATAATAATGACTTAATACATTTTTTTTTTTCATTGCATAAAGTTATCGCAAGCCTTCAAAAGGCCGGCGCATGAGTCAAAACAAACACAAGATGAAAATCTCAGTACATAATAGGAGAGGAAAAAGCAGGGGGACGGAAAAAGGAAACTATGCAGCAAATGTTTTGATCAGTGAAAGCTGGTTAGGAGCCCCACCTGTGCTAACAGCTTGCCAGCCGAGGGAGAAAGGGGTTCTAGCCTGGATGGTGTAGGCAGTAATTGGACTGTGATTATCAGGACCAGGCCTCCAGGAGAGAGTGGCAGTGGTATCTGTGATTTCTTCCACATGGATGCTGGTAGGGGGGCCGGGGGGACCTGAGACGACAGCCATGCAAACCAGAAACACACACACACACACACACACACACTTCTCTGTCACGCTTGTAGGCTGCATATAAACGGCCGCCTAAAGCACAGCAGTGAAGCTGGTTAACTTTGAGCTACTTTTTTTCACTGACTTAAAGGGGTCATATGATGCAATTTCAATTTTTCCTTTCTCTTTGGAGTGTCACAAGCTCTTGGTGCATAAAGAAGATCTGTAAAGTTGCAAAGACTAAAGTCTCAAATCCGTCATTTCTCCGATCACACATGCAGACATGGTTTTATGTTTACGCAGCGCAATGCAACGCGTAAAAAGACAGTTTAAGTCATTATAATCCGAAATTATGTCCCCACTGGATGCAAAAAATGCCTAGTTTATAATGGGTTTTAATGTTTTTGTGTCATCGCTCCGGCCGGGACAAGGCATCACAGTATGGTTAGGGGCGTAACATTTCCGTCACATGCTTAAAGTATTCGGCCGATCACAACGCACTGGATAGCTGAGAAACAATAATGTACAGTATGTGGAAAATAATGTGTTTTTTGAACCTTAAACCGCATAAACACATTTCATTACACCAAATACACAAAATAATGTTCTTTTTAGCAACATCATATGACCCCTTTAAAAGCTCTAGTTAGATTGTCTCCTTTTTTATTGGTATTTTTTTTTACTAAAGCAGGAAAACCCATTTTTCCTTTATTTGGTAAATACTTCAAGGGCTGGTTTAACAGTCTGTAACACTGTATCCAGTTAGTTTTTATGATGGACATTTAATATTCAATAGTCATAGTGTGCAAAAGATTATGTTTGTATATAAGATATGAGATATACAATGTGAATGTGTTATATGGATTTTAAAGCATTTTCACCTCTGACAATCAGGTCGGTTGCAATGGAGCTGCTGTCCACCTTAGTCTGCACTGCACACGTGTACTTCCCAGCATGCCTCAGCTGAATGTTCCGGATCATGATGTCACCTGCCGAGTGCTGCTAAAAGAGAAAGATCAAAGTCATGGTAAGGATTCACAGTTTGGGTAGAGAAAGGAAACTTATTTTTTACTCAATTATATTTATTTCTCTTATGATTTTTTTTCTATTGAATTAGCTTGTTTTTTTTTTTAATTGTTTTAAAATGTACTTACACTACTGTCCAATAGTATGTGGTTGATAAGATTTTTTGTTGTTGTTGTTTTTAACAGATGTCTTTAATCCTCACTAAGGTTTTGATTAATATATAGCAACAGCAATTTTAAATAAATGTTTTAATATGTTTTAATTTTAATGCGTTTTAAAATGTAATTTATTCATGTGATCGCAAAGCTGAATTTTCAGCATGATTACTCCAGTCTTCAGTGTCACACGATCCATTGGAAATGATTCTAATATGCTGATCTCGTGCTGATTTGTGGAAAGTGGAAACTGTGATGATGTTTTTTTTTTTTTAAGAATACTTTAATGTATAGAAAGTTCAAAAGAACAGCATTTATTTGAAACAGAAATCTTTTGTAACATTATAAATGTCTTCACTGTCAGTTTTGATCAATTTAATGCATCCGTGCTGAATAAAAGTATTAATATCTTCCAAAAACAATTTTTTTTTGAAAATTTTCCCCAGCTTTCTGTACAGCTGTTCACAAACTAGGATTAATGAGACATTATATATAAAAGTTTTTTTTTTTTCCCTTACCATGGCTTATTATTGCCTTAAAAGACTCTTAGAATTGTTTAAATGACTTAAGCAAAAGTCTGATATGTGGAATTAATAACTTTGCATTTTTTTTACTTATCCAGGGTATACACTTTCTCCACATTCTTCACTTAAAGTGCTGCTATTAAGATACATCGCTCATATTAAATCATAGTAATCATGTTAAATAATATACAGTAAGAGTGGCAGTTTTCGCTTTTAAAATAGAGCACTTCCATCTAGAAAGTTCTCCATCGCTTGTTTCTTTGGCGACGGGGCTCCTACGGATGACATGATGAACAAGATGCTGAGAATCAGCCCCTCACCCCCCAAAAAAAATATCATGAACTTTTAATGAAAAGAAAAGAAACGCATGTGACTGTACAAGTGCTGTAATTCATATCACTGAGTGGGAAGCGTAATTATACTCTAGATTAATACAGAATGGGTTGTCAGTGGCTGCACATATAAAGGGAAAATCTCTTATCATAAATTCACAAACTCAAAACTGTGGAATTTAATGAAAGGATTAATGTGATTTTTTTTACCCCAACAATTCAGTTGAAAGTACTTGATATTAATACCTTAAGTACAATATGTTATCAATTACAGTTTATATAATTTTGCATACATGTATGTGAAGTGAATATGACTCCCTGAATCAGGTTCCAGCTAATAGGCAAAGCATTAGTCCTTAATATTTTTTAAAAGAAAGGAAAAACAACTAGTTAAATTAATGAAATAAAAAAGGCTCTGTTCCAAAACTAAGTAGGCTGCCAATAATAAAACAATATGAATGTGATGTTTATTAAAGGTTATGGTGGCATTAAATAAAAGGAAATTAGGAATCTAGATTTTCTCATGTTATTTTGTTCTATATAAGCGTAGTCATATTCCATTGTGACTGCCATGATGAAATCACATGACCAGCCAAAAACTATTCACTACATCTTGGTAATCCCAGTATTAGCAGAAACGTTTGGATGCAGTATAAATATATAAACCACTGAATAAGGTATTTGTAATTATTTTCTTCTTACTCCGCCAACTTTTTCAAAGTATCCTCCGTGGCTGCCGAAGTGGATGAGCTGCTCGTTGAAAAACCAGGTGAACTTGAGCTCCAGCGAGTAATCGTAGGACACCTGGCAGGGAAGAATGATGCTCTCGCCGACAGTCACGTCCAACGTGTTGGGAGCAGTTGTAATGATTGTTGGCTCTGGAAAACAATATACAGTGGGTATAGAAAAGAATCACCCCCTTTAAAATAATCACATTTTGTTGCTTTGAAGCTTGAAATGAAGATGGACACAGTTTTTGTTTTATCCAGCTGTATTTACTCTGTGCAACCCATAACATCCAAGTGAAAGATAGAACACCAACAAGTCAGAAAAAAATAAAAAACAGAATCCCTGAGTTGGAAAAAGGATCACCCCCTCTTAAAAATCACTAGTGTAGCTAATCACCTTCTCAATGGCACACAAAGCCATTTCACTTTTAACTGGGATTAGCTGTGGTCATTTTGATTAGCTCAGCATGAAAAGAGCTTTCCTGGAGCATTTCAGTCCTTGGTAGTGCAACTGAAGCAAACAATCAACTATGGGTGGCAAGGCACTGTCAAAAGATCTCCAGGATAGAGTTTTGGACATGCACAAGTCAGGAGATGGATACAAGTATTTCAAAGGCTTTATCAATGCCTAGAAGTACAGTGAAATCTAAGAAGTGAAAGGTATTTGGTACAACACAGACCCTCCCTGGATCAGGACGTTGCTCCAAACTAACTGGATGAAAAAGCCAGGAGGAAACTGTTCAGAGAGGCTACCAAGAGGCCTACAGCAACTCTGAAGCAGCTGCAGGAATTTATGACAAAGAGTGGTCATTGCGTGCATACGACAACAATATCACAAATGTGGCTTGTATGGGAGGGTTGCAAGATAAAAGTCAATCCTCAAGAAAGGCCACATGCAGTCACGACTGAGCTTTGACAAAACACACTTTCAGATGGGACTAAAATTGAATTATTTGGCCTCAACACCAAACGAAATGTCTGGCGGGAATCCAATACAGCTTACCATCCATATAACAGCATTCCTTCTGTAAACAGAGCCCAGACTTAAACCCCATTGAAAATCTGTGGAATGACTTGAAGACTGCAGTCCTCAAACGTTCACCATCAAATTGAACTGAACTCGAGCGGTTCTGCAAAGAAGAGTGGGCAAATATTGCAAAGTCTAGATGTGCAAAGTTAGTAGAGACAAATCCCAAAAGACTAAAGGCTGTAATTAAAGCAAAAGGTGATTTTTTTTTCTATACCCACTGTAATGGTTACACTTGAAAACTTTTCAAAAAGTACCATTATTAACCTCTAAAGCCACTACCATTCACAAGTTTAGGGTCAGTAAGATTTTTTTTCTAGAAATTAATACTTTTATTTAGCAAGGATGCATTTTAACATTTTTAAATATATTAAAAATACAAAACAGTTAACAAAACAGTTAACAAAAACATCTTACCAAACCCAAACTTTTGAACTGTAGTCTATATTAAATTATTGACTCATCAGCCATAATAATGTCTTTCAATTATCTTAATTTGGGAGATTTTCAAAGAGCGAAATTATGATTAATTCAATTAATTAATCAATCACATATCGTAATTATTTCAAATAAACTTTTTTCATTAAACTACAAATGAACATTGCTTAAAAGTAAGATCAAGTTCAGAGCTCCATGACAGACGGCGGTCAGCTTACAGGCCAATATCTGAGGATGGACTGAGAGGTGAATATCCCATGAACGGTCCCTGAGCTCCACCATGTGTCACTGTCTGATCTCTGCTAAGCCCCTAAAGTCCCATCTGCTCTCCCAGAATGCACTACTCCGAAAAACAGATAACACACCACCAGCAGGGCCGGCGCCCAGTTCACTTTCTTTCCAAGTCTCAGTTCACACAGAGACTGATGCCTTTTCACGAGGGAACACGACAAGCACGCCTGCTCCTCCGCTTTCAGAGTGCAGCCTTGTGTAGAACAGGTGCAAAAATTCTGCTGCAGTTCGCTTTTGCACCTCTTGAGGGCGCTGTGTGTATTCCGCTGAAACGTCAGTCTGACTAAATTAAGCACGGTGAACGATACCTCAGACGCGTGCAAATTTATGCAGAAAGCACCCCGCACGATCTCCAATCTATGTGTGAGGATTCGATTCTGGAATTACAGGTCTACGACACATGAAACAACCTTTCCCCATCTCGACTGATATCAAACTGGAAAGGCAAAGCTAACAGGTGCATTGCTATGGGTTTTGTGCTGAACACAATGAGGGGCCGTTGGATGAGGCTCGCTTCTTTTATTGTTTGGATGAGATCTCTCACCGACTGTCTGTCAGATTCACACAATGGGATGACAATAAGGCACTGCCTGGTATTCTACTGTCAACTCTTAGCCTGGCAATTTAATTCAGAATTCAACAGCACTCGCCTTGAAGCCCAGAAGAGTGCATGTTACTCGCTCTTCTCCTGTAGGAACGGCACTTGTTGCGAGAATTCCTTGAATAATGTACCTTTTTTCCACCCCCGATATCTTCACCACTTTCATCCGGTTCTCCTTGTAATGTACTCATGTTATTGTTTGCCGTCTCTTATAGTAGACAGATGTCCCTCGGCTCCCTTTGTTCTCTGCGTGGAAGTGGCTTGGGGTCTCCAAACAAGGCGGATTTCTCTACGGTCTATATTTAAACAAGCATCAGCCTGAACTGAACAGGTGAAAAATTACCATTGTAAGCCAACAAGAAGCTATTAATACCTCCTATTGTAGCGCCTCAATGTGGGAAAGCGTGGTTGCGCTGATCCGCAAATTCAAATGCAGACAAATGCAGCCCTGAACAGTGGCAAGAAAATCTCTGAAGTGAAACCTGAGAATTCATTCAAGGCAAAGCTGACACTGCTGTCCTACTCTCGAGGTTGTAGAACTGGAGAAAATGCCTCTTATTACCCTGCTCCAGCATCATTTGTGACAGATTGCATAGATAACCTCGTTTAAAAAACCTGACGCCCTCAAGCTCTCGTTGGCGTAATCGGAGTGATATCCATCTCGCATAATACCTTGTTACTATTACTGTCTATCATTAAAGCTGTTGAGAGAGGATGAGACCCTATACGTTAACAGGGCAACCTGTGGAAACTTTCAGACCGACTTTTTCTTGAAGAGAAACGCCAATGACCTCAAAAGCGTGTTCACACATTTAAATGAATTCAGCTTCTTCTGTATTGCTGATTTCGTGCTTCATAGTGGTAGAAGGAAGGTGACAGGAACAGAAAAACACTACTACAGAATGACCAAGCATGGTTAAATGGTCTGTGGAAGTATCCTAGAGCCAGACTACACGTTATTCGTCTGTCTCTAATATTTCTACTTGAATATTGCGGTCTCATATGGGTCAAGTGTTCTGGGAGGCTCACAATGATCTGGCACAAAAGCAATTGAGCAAAGCCAATGCGCAGATCTGTGCGACAGGCCCCTGCTGAGGCTAGAGTCAAGAAATCAAACTCAAACAAGGTCAGACTATTAGCAAAACACACCTGTGACCTTGTCATTTGTTTTAAATGTGATTTTTTGTGTGTGTGTGTGTATGCTATATTTATTATAGGAATGTGTACAAGAAGCTCTACAAATCATTTAAATATTTTATGCTAAATTATATATATATACACTGTATGTCTCATATAAAACTATAATAAAATACTATAAAATAAAAAAATATATAAAATAATGATGCATTATCAATATTATTGTTTAAATATAACAACCACATAACACAGGAAAGACAATATACAGAAATTTCTTCAGCATGAGTGGTTAAGACAAAATTGGTAAAATTCATAATTAGGAATACAAATAAGCAATTATATTGAACTTTCATGACAAATTTGGAGCAGAAAGTATGTTCAGCTTGCTCCTCGTCTGCAATGAAAACCCACCACTGAAGCAAACTAAAAACTTTCCCTCAACTTCGAGAAAACATTCATGCAGCACTGATGTTGAGTAAAACTAGATAAAACAACTAAAAGTAAATGTTTCCTGTGTGTTCTATGAAAAACTCAAACCCGCCATTAAAACACGGTGTTCCACAGGAGGAATAATAAAACTAAAAAGACACAAAAATAGGACAAAACCCAAAACTGTATCACTGAAGATGACAATTGACTGTCCATAGTAAATGAATTTACTTTTAATTTGGATAGGAACCCAATTTGTGTTTTAACAGTGCAATATAGATAAGCATTTTTATTTTGGCCTTTTTGCCGTTTTTTTTTAAATTTATAGACTCATTGGAGAGAACAATGGGGAGAAAAGGAGGGAATAGGATCAGGAAATGTCATGAGCTTCATTCACATGATTACCAAAGTGCCTACAAAAATATGAGTACTTGACATGATTCTTAAGATTCTTGGCCAACAAATAAAATCTATACCAAATCTTTTACATATCTGTCCTCATTCTCCATGCCTTTGTTTCTCTTCATGCACACTCCAAAGGCAGTTTAGAAATGACCAGGGCTCCTTATCTTCACTCCAATACCTCTGCCAAATCGCACCAAAAGAAAACTGACAAAAGACCTGACCACTGCAACCTCTTCCAATTGAGTTTCCACCCTCCACGATAACCTTGCGGATCTTGCAATCCCCTTTTTTGAAGCGCGTACTCGGACAACACGGGTCGAAAACATCACAAAGTAATAATTGAAATAGAGCCTCTTGGATACGTGCACAATCTGAGAAAGATTTAGTCCTTTTTCAAAAGAGCCTTGGGTAAAATTCCATCAAATCACAATTATAAAAGCCTTTAATGAAAATGAGCCAAAATGAACATTTACTGGTCAAATGTGCAACAACACTACTGAACACCACTGAAAGTAAAATATACTGTATATATTATAAATTATATAATATAATATACTATAATAACATTAAAACAAATTATAAAAATAATACGTAATAATAGTAGTGGTGAAAAAAAACCCCAAAAGAAACTATAAAATTATAAAGTGGTCTACTGTAAATGAAAAAAATATATAGTATAATATCTAACTTAACTAATACATTTATAAGTATATTCCTTATTGTTTATTTTAAAATATAACAATAAGCAATATATTATACCACTATTTTATGATTGTTTTTTTGTTATCAAAATGCATTTAAAAAATGTAACTACATTTTTTTTGTAATAAAGTGGTTAAACAGTCTTACATCTTATTTATTTTTTGATTATGTTTCAATGCGTGCACTGCAGTTTTAAGCGACGAGGTGCTGGTGGGATAACTGTGAACGTCGCATGCAACAGCAAGGGAACTCATTACGAGAATGATCGCTCCCCAGCTCTGATATCATTGTCCAACATCCAAACACATGATTTGATCCTCAGTTAATCTCTGTCCAGCAAAATCAATTTCTAATTAAGACTAATTAATCTGGGTAATATCCTCTCAGCGTTCTGATGATTGGGACATCAACAGGGCTGACACAATGCTCGGTTTCCAACTGCTGTTTGCTGGGAGGGTTTACGTGCAACTTATCCAATGGGAATCTAATGTGACAGGTATTTTTCAGCCCTCATATCACCGCAGTCAATTTAAATAAACCACTGTCATCTCCCATAAGGGCTACGGCAGATGCTGATGCACACGGGCAAACCAGGTTTCCACTCCTAAATTAAATTGCATGATGTAAATGTCCCTGTCTTAGTCTCAGCGCCTTATTGATAGTGACAGTTAGGTGCTAGATCATATAGGGGAACATTTGTACGTCAGCAAGGATGCACCGACGCACAATCGAGAGTAAACGCTCAGGGTGGGTGTCAAATAGACGCCGGCGACACTCTCTCTCAAATATAAATCTGAAGATAATTGTGCAATTCATCCAGATAGAAAAGATGCATCTTTCTCCGCAGGCTGATTGATAACCAATTTAACGGGCTGCTCCCCGTACTCAGACGCATTACAAAGTGTCTGGATAAATGCCATCCATAATGACAGAGCGGACATGTTTGACGACTGCGTTAATGAAGAGAAATAATGGAATAAAAAGGTGCGGGATGATGCGACGAACAAACATGCACAGGGCAGACGGTGACTTGAAGTAATGAGGCGGGATGAGAGCCAATAACCATCCTGTTAGGCTCTTTTTTGACTCCGGTTTGAGTTGAAAGAGCAGTTATTGCTTGAGTGTGAAATCCAAGTCCCGCAAATGAGAAATAAAACATCCTTTCAAGAGATAATTCTGTTTTTAGAGATGGATAATAATAATTATGAGCCAGCTTTTCAACCTTTACGATGTGAAATGATCTGTGGAGTTTCATTCTTAAATTAAATATCTCCAGATTAAAGAATTTCACTCTTGATTAATTAAATATGTCAGTGTTAGAAAGTGAAAAACCGGGTGACTGTACAACACACGCACTGGTGAGAAAAAAAAGAGGAGACTCAACATAAAAGACTTAGAAGATACTCATCCATCTCTCTCTCTCGGTCTAAACTACTCTGACCGCATACATAGATCATCTATAATGCATTTTTTAATTATTAACCTGTCTATGAGAACACAGACAAATTAAGATTTTACAAGTAACTGGCAGAGAAAACAAACAATTTGTCTGTATTAACAAATATCTGATTTATGATAGACAAAATAGGCATTTTGGTACCAGGGAGTGTTACACTACCATTAATTTAACTAATTAAAAATGAGCTACAGGGGTGAAATTACTAGCATACATAACCACCAGCCTCCTGAGGTGACCTCTGTGTGAAAATATAAAGGATTTACTGCACAAAAACTATTTTGAGCTAACTATAAACTATAATGGGATTTGTCCATGTTAATGGATGTTAAATGACAGAACGGGTATCATATGAATCAGCAGGTTGTCTTGCTTTATTTCATATATAACATGCAAGCTTTTCATCTTCATGTTAAAAAAAAACAAATCAAAAACAGATGTTGTGTTACAACACAAAATGTGTTCACCGTTTTCCCCTATGGAACACATTTACACCAGGCAGCCTTATGGATCATCTCTAAATATAGAGGAATCAGTGGCATTAAAGAATTATGATATGACTCATGCAAAAGACATTTGCATTTGCATCTTAAAAAAGGGCAAATGAAACAATCAAAGCGATCACTATGGCAACCACTAAAAGGAGAACTACCTCCAAGGTGCTTTATTAGAGAGCTGTTGAGCTGGTTTCTGAAGGCCTCAGAGATGACTAACGTGTGCGGATGGAAACAAAAATGGATTGAACCTTTAAGTAAACATGACAGTGCGCTCAGTCACAACAGATTTCTTTTTATGTCAGAATGTTTTTTTGGGGGAGAAAACTACATTAAACTTAGAACAAGAACAAACACGTGGATTGTGGACTACGTGATCTCATTAGTATTCGCAGGTGTTCAAACTTACACATGCTTTTTTTGTTTTTTTTGGCCAGATACTGATTCGCACAATATGTACTCAGAAATACATATATATAAAGTTTCTCTACATACATTTCCATGACTATTTTATTAATTTAAATAAATTTTCCCCTTTTTTTACTGAGAAGAATAAAATAGATTAAATGTCCAAGCAGGTAAACAATCTTAAAATGAATTTAATTTCATTAATCTCAATTTTTTAAAATAAAAATAAATAAAAAAAATGGTCAAATTTCACATATAATAATATACATTTTAGAAGCTATCCATATGGTATCAGTTTGATTATGTGAACAAACAAATACTTATGAATACTAAATGAGATGTTTTTGCAGTGCATAAGGTTTTTGCGTCCATCTAAAGTTGTCTTTGCTGAAAAAAGATTTTCTTTGCTGATGCAGCATGTGTACACCCATCTGACATACTAATGGAGATAAAATGGAGGTTGACATATAGCTGCCAGTGGCGTATCACTTCGGTTGACATGTTTGGCAAGTGAAAAGTGCCCAGCGTCATTGAATATATCTATCAGTCGTGTTTAAGGTCCTCTGCCCCAGTCCATCTATCTATAAATGCCATTTACTCGCACCACGTTGCCATGCATCATGTCAATAACTTGATAATACATACGAATACAAAATGAAGGAAACTCAATATTTATTGAGTTTTTGATGGATCTCCCCTTGACATGCAATGATTTAGGGTTTCAATGGCTGATAAAGGTTAATGAAGTAGACTAAAACGTCAAACTTAAGGCACAAGAAGCCCTGCGGTTTGAGAAATTATTCACTTTTAAAAGAACTTTATGTGAGTGAGGTGATAAATACAGAGGTTTTTATAGACCTGTAACTTTGCTTTCTGCAGGATCACATTAAAATAAACCTCCTGAATGTTTGTTAAGGACATATATTTGAAAGACCATCAATAAAATGGTTGGAAACCACTTTTACTAAGTGCTTCTGATAGCTGTACTGGAAAAGGCTAGTTTAAAGGGTTAGTTACCCCAAAAACGAAAATTCTGTCATTAATTTACTCACCCTTACTTACTTTCTGAAGCTCTTGGATTGAATTTATCCTAAATAAACAAACTATAATATGAAGGAAAAGCCCTATTCGGACAACATTAATTTTCCCTTAGGAGTTTAGGTAAAATTGTGTTTCACAGTTGCACTTTTGATTTTATCTCTCAGTAAAAATTATAGAACAAATTAGCCACTGTTCTTCAGCCACCTTGGGCGACCTTTGAAAAATCCAATCCGGACCAGTTAGAAAAATCTGTGATTTTGGTGTATTATTTTTTCACAGCCGTTCTCCTAATTTATTTTGACCTTTGCCAAATACTGTAACTAAATCTAAATTTGTAGTCGTGCTGCCTGGTTCACCTTCATTATGAATTTTTGCCAACTTTCTGGGCAAATAACAGTTGGTGGTTCAAGTACTGCTGGCATCCCATCCAATTTAAAAACAGAATTAAATATAAAATGAGTCCGGACTGCTCCAAATGGCCTTAATTAATTCCTTTCCTTAATGCATAATGTTGCAATTTATCACATATGTGATTCATTTCACTGGGCTTACAACATTTTGTAACGCCCACAACCAGACAACAGACACTCACATCTTCAGGGCTGTGCAAAATACAGAACTGAAGAATTAGTCTTTTATATGAATACGTTGGAAATGAATTGGCAAAACCCCACAAGAAGTTGAATTGGAATTTGAATTGCATCTGAAACTGAAGGATGTCCAGCCAAGATTTAAGTTTGTCTTTTCGACTTAAAAACTGCAGCTGCTTAACTTTAGAATGTCTTTGAATTTGAATAATTTTAATTCTACTTTTTAAAATTCGAATTGCAAGCACGCATCCTGTTTGACACCTAAATTCCAATTCAAACTGAAATTTCAGGGTATGGAGACCTCAACTGAGTGGTTCTTACATCCTGAAAATCCCCCCAGCCTTAGAACACTTCTAAGTGAACATGCTCGGCACCACACACCCACTGCTCATTCATATTTAATACAGCATAATAACTCACTGCTCCAGTGACTCAACAAGTGTGATTTGGGTCCCTCCGGGTTCCCCATGCTGGTGTTCTGACACTACACTCCTTCATCTCATTAGGAAATAAAAGGATTCCACTTGGCTAAGATCAGATAGCTTTGGAAGGTATATAACTCAGACAAAATACATATGAGCATACAGAAAAGATGTTGTACTGCGGATTGGGCGGATGCATAACGCAGAATGTTCTGTATAAAACCAAATATCCAATAAATATGTGGCAGAAGAGACTTTATTATCCTCAAAGACTTCAAAATGACTGAACTGAAGCAAATACCTTTAACAAGCAGGTTTCCAGAGCTGCTGGCCTCGCCAAACTGGTTATGGGCAACACACGTGTACATGCCAGCATCCGCTTTAGTGGTGTTGGATATCCGAAGGCTTCCACTCTCCAGTATAGCAATTCTGCAATGCAAATATACACACACATGATAATATTACTTCAGAGTGCTTCTGTGATTTCAAGCCAACAATCAACAAAAGCGATGTATTTTTTGACAGGATATAAGTATGACGACAGGTTTTGCAGCTATTTAAGACTTGAGACTTCAGGAAAGATTTTAAGTGTGTCATGCAAGACGATCTAGACGTTCTTACAGAGACCATTTTGGGGGAAAAGAGTGCAATTTCGGGACAGTTTTGAATGTTTTTCAGCCTTTGCACATCGATAAGAATCCTTTGTCTTGTCAGATCTCAAATCCCCACCTTCAACAAACTTGCTGTCAACGTGTTTTTAAGAGGAAGACGGGTGGCACTGAAATGCTTATGTTTTTTTCCCACAAAGAAAATTGTTGGAAGGAGTATTTGGACAAAGTCTTCATGCTGCCAGGATATTTTCCATAAGCCATTTAAAATGATCATTAAAATATTTTCAAATATTGATCCTTGAACCAGAATCAAACCAATGTAAATTTTAACACCTGTTTTTATGTGGGTCAATGGAAAAATCAGTTCAAAAATTCAAATACGAAATGATCTTTGCACAATAACGTCCTTTAACCCATGTAGTGCATACGCACATAAAAGGGTCTTAAAAACACATCGTCAAAGATAAAATGCATGATGTGGAGACCTTGACGATGAAGGAGAAAAAAATGGAGGCCTTCATTAATTCATGATGGCATTCTAATTGTTCTAGCCACAATACTCAAGGAGTTAGCCATAAGCAAGTTATACATGATAATGTTATGAATGTGCGTAAAAAAAGGAAATGAGAGCGAGAGAGAGAGAGAAAAATACACAACAACATGGTGCCATAGTATAGATGGTACTATTTTGAAAAGCTGTGATAGCTTGAGGGGAAGAGATGCTTAATTGGTGTGGACTAAACATTGAATATAAATAATCCATTTCCACAAACTGTGGATTTCATTAATGTTTCTGGGGAGACCCCAATACATTATACATTTCTAATTAACATTTTTGAAGTGTGGCAAATGTAATGATAATTTGGTAAACACATTGTAAAAGAGAGAAAATAAAAAATGGCTAAAACACAATGGTCAGATATGGTGTTTTCTGCACACATGCACAAAATGGACAATCACATATTATTTGAGCTTCATCCATTACTAACATGCGCATAAAATCAAACATACACCCATGCAATCTCCTTAAACAAACATTTTTCAGTAGAATAGGGTGTACCGAAGAGCTCAGTGATTTTGCCCATGGCACTGTCATAGGATGGCACTAATAAAATATGTTTACTGAGTGTGAAGAACTCGACTAGCCTGCACAAAGCCCAGACATGAACCCCACTGAACACCTTTGGGATGAATTGGAACATCAGTTTCTGACCTCAGTGCCAAGAAAATCCCTGCAGCCATGTTCCAACATCTAGTGGAAAGCCTTCAGCATCTGTCACACATCTTTTATCTTAGTGGAACATTTCAGTTTAAAAGTTTGGTTGGTAAGAAATTCTTAATGATATTGAAAACACTTTCTAATGCTAACCAAGGCTGATTTTTTATTTTTATTTTTAATATAAAAATACAGTAAAAACAGTAATACTGTGAAATATTTGTACAATGTTTTCTAGTTCAGTATATTTTAATATCTATTTTACTCCTGCATTAGCAAAGCTGAATTTTCAGCAGTCATTACTCCAGTCTTCATGATCCTTCACAAATCATTCTAATATGTAGATTTGGTGCTCAAGAAACATTTCTCATCAATGTTGAAAATAATCGTACTGCTTAATATTTTTGTGGAAACTTTTTTCAGGCTTCCTTGAATAGAAGGTTCAAAAGAACAGCATTTTTTTTTTAAACAGAACATTATAAATGATTTTACTGTCCCTTTTGATCACTGCACACTGAATAAAGGTATTAATTTATTACTGACCCTAAACTTTTGAATGGTAGCGTATATATAATCACAGACAAAAAGTAAGCCAGAACATCAAGACATGGATATGCACAACAATTGCAGGTCACAACAAAGCAGGTTAAATACAGTTTATCAATGATAGTGGTGAAGTTTTCCCCTTCTTTTCCTTTCTCCCTGGCTCCTCCCGTTAAGCACCCTATATACCTCCAGAGACTACCAACAAATAGGCCAGCACATTGTCTTATCTAGATCAAGGAATGACCTGCTTTTGTGCAGCTCTCCTGCATTTGCAGCTATGAGATACATTTGTTTGAGACGGCTATTCTAGGAGAAAGTCTCTTATTTCCCAGATTTCTATCCTGAGAAAGTTTGCTTCTCCTAGGGAAATTTAGGAGAAACATTTAAAGAAAAGTTCATACTTAAATGAAACGTCATTTAAAAAGGTTCCAGAGCTATGAAAGAGCAACATATGAGCAATTAAAATTTCATCCTTCAATCATCATGAGATGCTGACGGTGTCTCTAGCAGGCTTTATAACTTGTTTAACCAGCAAAATTTGGCTATGCTGATCCACCAAAAAGAGCATTAACCAGTGTAAGCCAGTGTGAAAATTCCTAAGCCAGTATTTTCAGCAGAGTAAGCAAACCTAATGGATGCATTTTGACATTGATGGGTTCAAACAGAGGAGAATCCTAAGGTTGGTGGTGCAGTCTGTGGACTTCAACATACTCGGAGAGCATCTATTCCTGGACAAGCACACCAGTCCCTCCATCAAGTCTGAGCGAACGAAGACCTATCAATAATTCACCAGCGAGATGAACCTGAGTGCTGGTCTCCTCATCTCCTGTTCGTAACAGCTAATAAGGACAGCTGTAAATCTCCTACCAGGATACAAGCCTGTATGACACGGCGCTGGTGAGCAGTTTAAAGATAGGCACTATGTTGCAGGGAATTCTCTAATCTCCCCAAAAGTGTACTTAGAGTTGGTACAAAGTCATCTATGCCACTGAGGCAAAAGCGAGCTATTATGTCCTTTTATGTTTTGCTGGGGAAGACAGATAGGAGGCATTATTTAGAGACATCCTGTAGGAGCTTTCCTCTGGTAATCATAAACTGAACAGTGTGGGCTAAATACAGTACTCGTTGCCTCTTCTGGCTGTTTACTGGCCAAAAGTCTATGCCAGAAATCTCTCTGAATTGGTCTCTTTTTAAATTTTTTTTGCTTTCAAAACTAAAGGCATAATTCTGAAAAATCTTGTAATGCGTGAAGGAACATGACCTTAATATTTGTTAATATATTCTTTTTCATTTCAAAACATCTGCTTCTGAAATGGAAGCATGAGTGGAATAATAAAAATTCTGTTGACTTTGTTGAGGCATTTGCAGTCTGAGCGCATCACTTAAACTTCAACAAGCTCTTAAACGCGCTCTTCAGAATTTCTTCCACTTAACGCTAGGTTAAATAGAACAGTCTTAAGCAAGGTGAAATAAACACACAAAATAATTTATTGACCACCTTGTGTTCAAAAAGAGGAAATCATGATGGAAAAACAAGAATTCCAAATCTCTGTTTTTGCAAAAACAAACAGCAAAACAATTAACCATTTTGTGTTTGATTTGATGACCATGAGTCTAAAATCAGATTAAAATAAATTTTAAACATCATAATAATATTTCAAAAATTCAAAAATTTGATAAATTAGAATAAAATAAAAGAGGCATTGCTGAATAAATCAGTGTTATGAACAAATTAATTCAGTTGAGTGAATGATTCACTTGTCACCACCTACTGGTGTGCTTATGTAATATATAAAGCATAAATAAAGTTTAAAACGTTTTTAATTTAAAATATATAAAAAAATGCTGTTATAAATATTCTCAGAGAATATACAGTGCATATTCTGACAGGTTAAAATCTGACTTCCTGATCCCATTCCCTCCCTCTCTCACTCATCGCTTCTTCATCTCTCTTGAGTTTCCTGCAAAGGAGCTTTCATCCTGACAGCGATTTGAAGACAAAATGACCCAAGTCATTAATTTTTCAATTGGCAGCAACATGAGTGACAGTGGCCACTGGCATTCCAAGTTAAGAAGAGTTAAACTCTTGCAAACAGGCAGCAGTGTGAAGCAAGCAGCTGACTTTCAACAGCAGCACAGATAAATCTGCCAACTAGTGACCAACAGTAAAGACTCAAGAACCTGCAGCATTTGAATTGCTAACAGTGTGAATATAACTCAAGTATAAAGGCAAAATCTCATAAATAATGTTGCATAACTGTACGAGCTCCCAGATATGACCCAGGACAGTGCATTTAAGCAGGTTGCAACTCTCTTGCACTAACTGGCCTTCTCTGACCTACCTGGAGGTTGTGTTCCATCAGTGATGTTTTTTTTAAAAAACATTTACCGAGGACCCAGAGGGAGGGTCATGTAGCAGGGTGAAGCAGCGTCTACAGAAGGACCAGATAGGTCGTTTTATCCTCCAAATGGGGCACGAGCGTTGACCCAAACGTGAAGGGCTGATCTATGTTGAGGGCTAATACCCTAAAGAGGGGTGTGAGAGAGCTCCTGCCGTTACTTAGATGGATCATGTGTCCATATCTCAGCAGGCCTTCTGCTGGGAAACATGTTTGATAAACTGACGACCTTGTCAGTTGGATAAATAAACCGGGGGAGGCAGAAACAGGTCATTTCAGATCACGCTCTGTCAAGAGATCTGTTTAAGGGAAGCCACCTTGATGAGCATACCTTTACTTTCGACTCCTCAACCTCAAGGTTAGTCGGCAATTACTGCCACGAAAAAAAAAAAAAAAAGAGCCTTCCGATGAGTTTCGCCGTTATCGCTAGAACAACAGAGCAATCACTTGTTGGTCAAGGGAAAAAGAGGAGAAGGGAAAAATGGGAAACGAAAAGGTTGTCTTCTGACACTTTTCCAATAGCCAGGTAATTGATATTGATTTTTTTAGTGTATACGAGTCAATAGTTCTTAAGACATAACATTCATTATCGCCGCATCTGACACTCACATAACCATGTCAAACTTTTACAAATTACAGCATCCTACTGACTTACTG